TAAATCATTCATTCCAAAATAAAAATAAAAATAAAAAAGATATGCAGCCATATTTAGCACCACAGATGAACTTTATTTATTTTACAGTTAGGTGGGGAAGTGAATAAGCATTTTCAAACAGAAGCTCTGACTGAAAACTTAACCAAACTGCAAAGTACATTAGCTTCCACACATCCTCGCTTCTCATAATATCAGTCGTTCTTACCCTCTCATTCTTTTACTATCAATGTGAAGTCTCTACTTCCCTGAAGACATTCTCCATTAGAGCACATAACACAGCCCAGAACATACCAAAATGTTGTACCAATATTCACATTTATGATTCTCTATCCAACTGTTTGAATAGATGTCTCCTAAATGGAAAACTGGTCAAATGCTGAATGGCTCTAATTAGATTTGTTTGTTTCACTCACCCATTGAATTACCTACCAGAAGTCAAGCTATATAAATTTCCTCTCTTCCTTCTTGCTAGCTATTCATTCTTTGACTGTCCCATTATCATTGACCTCTTAATGGTGGTCTATGTCAAAGCCAAGGCCAGGATTTCTTTCTTCACTAGTTTCTCTCCCTTTAGTGACATCAGCTAATCTAGGGCTTCAAATGCCAGCCTTTTGCTCTCAGTCTTTAAATGCTATCTCAATATTACCTCTAGCTGCACCCCTCCCCTCCCCCATGGGCCTTCTGGTTCTCTGTGTAATTCACTACTAAATGTATCCACTTTGATACCGACACACACACATCAATTTTACATATCCAAATCTGATTTCTTCATATTCCCACTTACATTCACTTTTCCCAGAGCCTTCCCCTACCCAATTAATGTAAATTACTTCCTTCCATTCACTCAGCTCCCAAATTTCAGAATCTTTCTTAACTTCCATAATCTTCTCACTGTGTACAATCCACCAACTAACAAAGAGGTCTCCCTACCAAAGATACTCCAAATATGATTCGCTCTACTTCCTCTTCACATCACCAAGAATAATTTTTAAGGGAGTAATTACTTGGTGTTTCCCCCCCCCCACCTTCTAACATGGAAGATTCATGAGGACCTATCTTCTTGACCTTCCTTCTTGTTCTTCTCCTGCCTGGAGCAGACACTCCCACAGGAGGGACTTAACAAAATTTGGCCAGAATTTTGTTGAATATCTCTGCTCAAAATGTTACCTTATTGTGATTTGAAGTGGCACATTTCTAAGTTTCTTCTTCTTATTTTATTTCTCAGTGTTGAGAACCATCATTTGCCTCTCGCCAGCTAGCAATGACCAGGTTAGTGCAGCCTCTCTCATCCATGAGGTCACAAGGAATCTGTTCTTCACCTACCTGTCTCCCATTAACCCTTCTCTGCAATCCACTGTTACCTCTTCAGTTCAAGATCTCACCAGATTTACACTGCCCAAAATATGGAGTTTCCTTTCTTTATCTGATGAGAAAGGCTCCCTGCCCAACTGCTTCCACCCTCCTGTGAGCCACACTCACTCAGTCCTCTGGACCCTTCACTCCACACATCCATCTAGATTCCCAACTTGGCATGCTTTTTGAACTTATACCACCTTTAATGATATCCATTTTGCATAATGTATTCTCCCTGAATGTCAATGAGCAATGTATTTGTCATTATACAGGACCTAACACAAGTATCACTTCTCCATAGCATCAAAATAATAGCAGCTAACAACTAGTGTGTGTGTGTGTGTGTGTGTGTGTGTGTGTGTGTGTGTGTGTGTGCTATAATGCAAACAACTTACTAGCATTGTATCATTCAATATTTAAACAAGGCTATTACAAAGGTGCTAATAATTTCTGCAAAAAAAAATGGTGTAAAGAGAAGCTAAAAGAAGTTAGAAAATTTGTCCTTTAAGATTTGTTTGTAAGTCTAATTCCAAAGCATAAACAACAAACCTTTCAATAAACAGCTGGCTTGACTTTGAAATGAGCATTCTGCCTTTAGGAAGCACAGGTCATTTTGAAACCATTCATTTGATCCTTTGATATAAGAAGTCCAAACCACAGACTCTAAAAAAGCAGCCCTTTACAATAAGCTGGGTAGTAGGTTCAAGAATTCACTGTCAGTTTTAGATTATATAAAAACTTGCCTGTGGTGGGTATATCTATATGAGGAGTAAACGTGGCCATAGTGCCATTATTAGTTAGCCCCAATATACAGTTACAAGTAATTTAAAAAGGACTAGAGCCTTGTATTACATACCACCCAACCCAGTTAAAGGTCACCTGATGTACTCAGCTGACCTCTGCAGGATACTCTACTGCTGTCTTTCTATTCAGTCATTTTTATCCTCCTAATTTTTGAATACTTGGTAGCAGCTTCATTTCATCTAGCATCTCATTACAAGTTGCTTATTGTTGCTTATTGGCTTTGCATGTGTCATCCCGCCCTGAAGTGGGTTTGATAAAGCCTCTGAAGGCAGCCTCAGGAGGTCTCCATAGAAATGGCCCCAGGGCCATCTCCAAAGTGGCCCTGTCTCAGTTGCCATGGTAAACAACCAGGCAGATTGCTATATTCAGTTCGCTGCCAGGGTCGCCATGGTGACTGCAAAGGCCTGCTCCTTAGAAGGACCTCACAAGGGCAGGTTTCCATGGTGATACCCATCCGGCATATTTCCAAGCAGCATCTTTTTGGTTGTCCAGTGACCAATCATCACAGATTCATTTATGGGTGATTCTGGAAGGTTGCTAACAATGTATCATGGCACATGGGGATTTCAGTTTGTATAAAGCACATGACCGTGGTTGGACATATCTATGTGATGAGCAAAAGGACATGTAAACACGATATTTGCAAATGTAAATGGGAAATTTTACAAATCATTAAACTAGACAGATCTGTACTGATAGTAATAAAGTAAAATTTTAAAACATGTCAATGAATAGACATCAATTAAAAAAAAACTGTAATGCTTCCACTAAATACAACTGCTTCGAACCTTAATTTCAAATGTTATAGGACATAATGGAATAGTTAAATTTTAAAATTTTCCCAATTTTATAGCAACTATGAGGGAATTAAATACAGTCGGCATCAAACACACACACAAATAAATTAATTAATTAAACAACTTAAATAAAAAAAACATAATGTAGGAGGGAGGGCCATCCTGAACAAATGCTGCCTTTGTAAATCCTGTTATTATTTTCTGGAAATTTTAAAGTCTATAGTATTTACACAAGCAGAAAATTTTGTCTAAGCATTAGTCTTAATGATTGTTAAAATAATTTAACAAATAGAAAAAAAATCCTAATTTTCAAATGATATTATTTTTTCCCTTTCAGTAGACTCTAAAGAGAATAACACAGACACAAATACACACCTGTAGGAAAAAGGTTAATTTTATGTTTATTTTCTTTTTCCTTCATCATGATGTAAAGACAAATCTAACTCTTCCTTTGATCACTAAGCTCCTCCATTTGTGCATTTCCCATCATCCTCTTTGATGAATTCCTCTCTCCAGCTCTGTCCCCTGCAGCCCACCAGTCTCCACTCACACTCCACCCAGACAACAGTTTCAGTTTGGAAACTCTATATAGAATCAAGAAATAAGACTAAAGTTCCCAGTCAGATTTTAATGATGTGTCAGTGTTTTTCAAACTGGGTTTGTAAAGATCTCTAGATTTTAGACTGTAGTAAGTTCTTGTGGATCAGAGCAGTCACCAAGATTTTTATTCCTTCACTAAATATCTATTGAATGACTAGCATAGTCTTCCTAGTAGAAGGCTGGTAGTACTCAGTGAACAAACCACCAATTCCTGGCCTTAAAGTGTTTCCATCATGGACATGGGGATCTGGAGAGGGAGCAAAGCAGGGGAGGAGTTTGGGAGGACACAGGAGATGTTGAAGGAAATAGGAAATAAAATTTTATGCTATAAAATGATTAAAGCAAGGGGAAGGGATGAAACCCACTACCAGGTCAGGTTGAGGATGGTACAATATTACAGTTTCACAGGGGTTTTGAAGGATTCCCTCACCACCAATTTGACCAGGTATACTCAACACCTATTCAGTGCCAATCTAAGTATTTGTTTAAACTATAAAGATATTCTTCATGGAACATCCAATATAAGTTCATGTAGATGAGTCAGATCCCCTTTGTATGTTTTCACTGTGAAGCAGTGTGGACCACCACCGACAACAGCACCCACTCCAACACTACTGTGTTGAAACACAAACTACTGTGTGAAACAGCAAAGACTTAGGCAAACTCTCCCAAGTCTTCCTCAGTCATGGAGGTACAAATCGGAATTCTACTCTGCTAATAATGTGCTGAAAATATGCAAATGCAACAAAATATAAATATTAAAATTGTGTGAACACAATGATGTAATGTCAGAAATTCAATTACTATAGAGTACTCCAGCAAAAAAATGAAAGAAATAAAGGAAGGAAGGAAGGAAGGAAGGAAGGAAGGAAGGAAGGAAGGAAGGAAGAAAGAAAGAAAGAAAGAAAGAAAGAAAGAAAGAAAGAAAGAAAGAAAGAAAGAAAAAGAGAAAATGGACAGGTGGTATGAAAACACGTTAATCAAAACTGAGTATTGGTAATAAGGTTTCCCCATGATGGCAAAACAAAAGAATTTGTTACCACGTACAATTTCACAAGTGAAATTTCCCATATTATAAAGGAAGGGATTAAATTTAAAACAGGAATTAATTTGCCAAGACAATTGCAAAGTGTTCATTTTTTCCCCACTGAGTACTGATCTGAAATGCTGTTAAGTACATTTTACACCCACGTCTAACACAGTGTGTCCTGTTGAAAACATAGTTCTGTATTTTCTTATAGCCCAAGTCAATGCAAGTCAAAAAGGCAGGAAAACATGACTGCTAAGCTTGAAGGCTTATAGAACAGTATGTTAGCGATTTTTAGAAGAACTTGAGTATTATTTGTTGAATACTTAGAAGCAACCACGCAACAAAGCTCTACATCCTTGATTCAATTTTTAGACAGTGACTTCTAAATGATTCTATCAATAAATTTAAAAACATACCAGATCAGCATCAGCTTTTTTGTAGGTCAAAGCTTCAACTTTGGAATCCAGTTCTGTTTGTATTTGATCTCTTCTTTTCATAACACCCTTCATATCAAAAGAAAAGTATAAATCAAGTTGGGGTTTGCTGTAATAATCTTTGCCCATAACAACTATTTATATTTTAGAATATAAATAATCATGGGGAATATATTTCTTATGTAATCAGTCATTTGAGTCTACAATATTTTTATAGAGTAGGTTTCCTTACTCTTTAAAATCTTAACTGGAATAAAGCATTTAAAATTACTTTATAAATGTTTAATTAGGTTTCCCAATGCACATTTTATCAGTTTAAGCATTACATGCAAACTGAATATTTGATGGCACATTCTTCAAAGAGACCAGAGACCAGGACAAATAAACAATAAAGGTCAATGAGAGCAACCAAAACACATGTTCTATCATATACTGGTGCATCTGAGGGGACACCTGGGTCACTAACCTGGAAATATCTATAATCATTGGAGTATCTCATTTGACCCAAAAGGGACAGTTAATCAAACCACCAATCATAGCACAAGTCACACAGCTGGAACACGCATTCACATCTTAACAATTTCACTGCAGCTCAGAATGTATAAATATTCATCCTTTAGCCAAGCTTTGATGAGAAATCATGGCTTCTTCGGTTAACTGATAGCCCAGTCCTGACTCTTGAATACTTATAACTTCATGTTTCAATGTTCTTAAACTTAAAACACCCTTGCAAGTCAATGCAAATGTAGGAACCATCTACACCTTTAATATATTTTCCCTGTCTTTTACATTGCCTTTCCTTAAGCAACTCAATTTTCTCACAAGACTTAGATTTCAACATCATAGGCATGAGGACTTGTTCCTTGTAGTCATCTTTTCCTGGGTTTAACAATGTAAATTAAGGGAATATAAAAATTGACTCTGGGTAAGTGAACAACTCCACCAGAGACAGAAGAGGTGTAGTACACGAGAGACTTCTATGGAGAGAAGCATCTAGACTTGGTAAGGTGCATGGAAGTCAAATAACATGGCTCTGAAGCATTTCAATGAGAACTAGGAGACATTGGGTTAAATATGTGCCCAGAGACATATTGAATCAAGCTTCTCCCTGAGAAGAATTAACTCTCTCTGATAATTTATGGGCAGTTAAGAGCTGCTAGAGTTAAGGGGCTCATGAGGTCCCATTTGTCTGTGAGGATCTATAGGCGGTTAATAGTTGTTAGAAAAAGGAGAGAAATTTTCGTTGGTAGTGTTACCACTAATAAGTTGCTCATGTTCCCATAACCATGACCCCTCGTTCTAGTGAGCAACCCACTGAAATTTAGTGGGTCAAATCAATCAATCAATCAATCAATCAATCAATCAATCAATCAATCACCCAACTAACCAACCAATAAACAAGGCATGAAAGTAGAAGCTGGGAAGAAAAAGTATCATCTGGAGTGGAAGGGGGACAAGAGAGGGCAATGAAGATGTGAATATGATGAAAATATATGCATGTATGAAGATGTCATAATGAAGCCCATTATGCATAATAAAGATATGTTATATAAGACACAAAAATATTTAAAAAGAGATTAACATTTTTCTTAATTTCAACAAAAACAACAGAAAACTCAAACTAATTATCACAAATGCCTTTATAAAATTTACTTTGCTTAATGTCAAGACCCCTCTGTGGAGGTTTGAATAGGTATGCCCCCGCCCCATAGACTCATATGTTTGAATGCTTTGCCCATATGGAGTGTCACTATTAGAAGGTGTGGCCTTGTGGAGCAGGTGTGGCCTTGTTGGAGGAAGTGTGTCACTGTGGAGGTAGGCTATGTGGTCTTATAAGCTCAAGTTGGGTCAATGGGACACAGACTTCTGCTGCCTGCAGATCAAGATGTAGAATTCACAGCTCCTTCTCCAGCCCTATATCTGCCTGTATAAAGCTATGTACCGCTATGATGATAATGGACTAAACCTCTGAAACTGTATGCTACACCCAATTAAATGTTTTCCTTTATAATAGTTGCTGTGATCATGGAGAATCTCTACAGCAATAGAAACCCTAACTAAGACACCCTCTTTTTCCTCTAATCCAAATGATTTATACTATAATTAAGTCCCACATACTTAAGGTCTGCTTCTATACTGTGCTTCACATTCATAAACAGATTTTAAATATAAATATATACTTCATAAGATTACACAATTTTAACCATTATTTTCATCAAGATATTACTATTGATTATTTTAACTCACATGAAAAGATCTCAGCATAAAACAGAAGCAAAAATGTACTATAAAAACTACTGATTATTTAATAGGTGACTATAAAATAATTCAACCATTGAGGAGTTATATAATAATTCATTCTATTGGCTATTATGATTTATCAGAATTTTAATTACACAAGAATTTGCTTTTATAATTTCTATCTTGACTTAACATGGGGATAGATAAATACCACCTAAGTGATGGAAAGAAACAGACAAATCAGATTTACCTGAAGAATTGTGAAGACATGAATAATGAGAGAAAAACAAGAGCAGGAGCCGAGGAAATGGAAAGAGAGAAAGAAGAGGAAGAAGAGACTTCTCAGAGATTCTCTGATAAGCAAGGAGTAATTGTATATAGAAGACTTCCCAGAATACAGGTAAGATCAAAGTCTGAAAAGTTCACACAAGATCTCATGACTCTTTCAAAGAAAGCCTAAACATGATAAACAAGAGAAAAATCTCATATTTAAAAGGCTATGTTACCTTTTCTTACCAAGATAGAAACAATTTTTTAAAAAGATTCCTAGAAATCAAGGGTGTATAACATCAGAAATCAGTCATGGTTTTGACTGTGAACTGCTGTAGAATATTATTTTAAGAAGTGTTTCATTCATTTATGCTATGGGATATTTGTTTAATGATTCAAAGATGTGTTGCATTCTTTTTTGTTGCATTTGTTTAACTCTGTGAAGCTGTGTTATTTTGCCTGCCTAAAGTACCTGATTGGTCTAATAAAGAGCTGAACAGCCAATCGCTATGCAGGAGAGGGATAGGTGGGGCTGCCAGTCAGAGAGAATAAAGAGAAGGAGAAAAAGAGAAGAGGGAGGAGTGAAAAAAGGAGAGGAGGATGCTGGGGGCCATCCACCCAGCCACCCAGCCAGACACAGAATAGAAGGACAGAAAAGATATTCAGAAATATAGAAAAGTAAACACCCAGAGACAAAAAGTAGACAGGATAATTTAAGTAAAGCTAGGGCCAGGTATTCATAAGAAAGAATAAGTCTCCATGTGATTATTTGGAAATTGGGTGGTAGGCCCCTCAAAGAGTAAAGAGGAAAAAAAATACAATCAACAGAAGGGCTACACTGGAATATACACTTATATCTCTCACTGTTATTCTCCACCTTCTCCCTAAAACACTAGACACCAAAAGGAGCTCACTTTACTGTACAACATACTGAGAACACAGGGTAATACAGGACAAAAAATACTGGCACTACAGACAGCATTACCAAATGCAAGTATCTGGAGTCTTAAGTTGAACTGAGGAAGAAGAATGTAAAATGTGGATATAAAGAACAAAAGGCTTTTCAAATGGTAGAAGAGAAGACTTTAACTTGAAAGATTTCATTTCAGAAGCTGCCTGAAGGCAAAGCAGCTATCAAGACCCCACTCAATCACTTTCTACATAAAATATACATAATACATTTTAAATATATTTTAAAATCATAAATGATACAGGAGAGTAACTCTCAAGGAGATAAATCTATAAAGCATACAAAAGAAATGTTTTAAGGTAAGGCACTTAAATGTTAGAAGACTGGTCCTTAAGGAAATCTTGATCAAGGATGCTTTGGATTGACGACAATCATACAAATTGTTGGTGTTGCTATTGAGTATTCTGATCTCTGTCTACATGATCTTCCAGCCATTGATTCATGGATGTAGTGAACAGATATCTCTTGGGTATCTACCTGTCAAATATCCCACTAGGACAGGAAAGAGTGGTAGAAACACAGAAATAGAATCAAGTAGAGAATAGCAGAGAGACTCTTGTTAGAGGGACTTACCATTAGCATCTCACTGTAAAGCACATACTCATGGACAACAGGGAGCAAGGCCTCGGACAGGCCAGACATCCGCTTCTCGGTGGCCTTACAGCACTGGTCAATGCAGCTGGCAATGCCTTTCAATGTGTCAACCAGGTCATCTTCTGATGCTGACCACAGAATATGAATGGGGCCATATTCTTTCATTTCATCAAAATAATCTAAAACAAAAAAGTGACAGCCAATTTATACTTTTTTATATTTATTTTTATTTGTCTTCATTTGGTTGACTGTATAAGTATATGCTACATGTGTACAGGTACCCACAGAGACCAGAAGAGGGTGCTGGGACCCCTGGGCCTAGATTTGCAGGCTGTTGTGAGCCTACAGCCTCTGGTAGAGTAGTAAGCACTCTTAAATGCTGAGCCATCTCTCCGGCCCCTATAACTGCTTCTCAAAATTCCTATATAATAGATAATATGACGGGACTTTGTCTCATTCTATACAAGTTCTCACACTTTGATATAAGCAAATGCTTATATTATCATTCATTAACTAACCAATTGTCCTAGAATGGACAAGACAGTTTTTGAAGTGCTACTGTCTAAGTATAAACAAAATTAGATGTCCGTTTCACTGTTCAGGCTTGGAAAAATATTTCATACAACGACCATAGCTATTATAAACTTCCACTTATCATAAAATTATATCTAAGTATATCAGAGCCAAGATGTCCTAAACAAAATCTATCTTTCTTCCTTTCTTTTAACTATATACACTCTTCAATAGTAATCACTACCCATTAGCCTAAGCAAAACAGCAGGGCTCCTTCCTATACTCTCGAGGAATTCCCATAAAGACAATGATATTCTCTATATCTAACCTTCTTTCCTCCCAGTATAATTTGCTGAAATCTATTCTGCCACTTGAAGCTACTACTAGCACATTTTGTTTTTCTATGATCAAGTGAACTCAAGAAGTTTCAAAACACTAGAGATATGAGTGAGCTCATGAGCATAAAGATTTTCCTCTAAGTTCTCCTTCACTTCTCTTTTCTGAGTCTAGGTTCATCTTTGTTAAAAAGTAACAGCACTAAAATAGAAAACAAAAATGTCAACAGTTCTGTTCTCGGTGTGTGTGTGCATTGACGGTTATTGTTAGGCGGCTGTTTTCACTACTGAGCCTTCTTAAAGCCTTCTTAAAATGCTTCTTAAAGCATTCAAACCACACCTCTATGCCAACATTTAGTAAGTTCCCCTGGAATTCAACCAGTAATATATGTATCAAGTGTACTGTGAGGTCTGGGGCAGGTAGAGCTATAACTGCTTCTTTAGTCCACAGCAGAGAAATAAGACAATATGTGGTCAATAGAATTCTGCCAAATAAATCGGGAAGCAGAAAAGAAAAGGACACCAATCTTTTTTTTTTTTTTAAGTGCTGAATGAAAAACATTCAAAGAGAGACTGCTGGTTCCTGCCCTCAAATGTTTCCTGATGTGGGTATGAATGAAAGCCCTGCACAGCTTAGACTCCGAAATTCCTAAAGGACTCTCCATCAATTTGCATGCAATCTTGTCCTCCAGGTCTGTTAAGCAGGCTTCATATCTTTTCTTCTTTTTTTAAATTAATGTTTTTCATACAATATGGTTTGATGAAGTTTTCCCCTCTCCTAATCCCTCCTGATCTTAAATAGTGAGAAGTCTCCAGTATGGGCCAGAAACATTTGTTCTGAAAACAAGAGCTCCACGTTAGAAAGCCTGTCTGTCAGGATTGAGCTGCCTTCACAGAGTCAAGTCTACTAAACGACCTCTTTACCAGCAAGTTCAGAGCTTATGAACTCTTATGTTCTCATGAACCCTTATGGCTCTCATGGGGCAGCAGTCCCCATAATATGCTTCAAGGTCTACATTAGGCTTGCTGATTCAAACAGACCTTGGCAAGCACTTAAAGACTGAGCCATGTCCCCAGTTTCTGAAAAAATTTCAATAATGGCAGGGCAGGAGCCATGATTTCTAGGTAAAATCCTAAGTGTCACCACACCACACTACAGCAGCCAGAGTGAAGCTCCAAAGGAGGCTGAACATCTGTACGACCAGTCTTCAGTGACCCCACGTACCCCTTTCTTCCTTGTAAATTCTCTGAGATATTTTATCTATTAAATTAATTTTCTGGCTAAATGTTTCAATGAAGTTATTCATTTCCATGAATTCATCTGGCCGGTTCTTCACTCCTCTCATGGACGATGCCACGGCTCTGACTGTCTGCCCCATCCTGCTCAGCAAGCCAGGTCCTTGCTTCTTATAAGAAGACAGTTCCTAGAAACAGAAAGTGAAAAAAGTGTGGTGAGTCACTCAGCAGTAAAGAGTAACACGGAAACAACAACACACTTCTGTGTGTATCTTTTAAAGCCTGTGCATTTGAAGCATCTGAATTTCCTTTTTGGTAGCATCCTCCTACATTCCAGTCTACTGGCTAATATTCCATTTCAAAGTACTCACATCAAACAGGTGGACAGTTTTTTTCCCAGAGTATAAATCTTTAAAATAAAAACAATGGGCTCAGTGATCAAGAAGATACGCAAGAAGAGCATGATGTCATAAGCAACCTATATTTCTTTGGGGAAGGCTTTATTTTTATTTTATGTTCATGCGTGTATATTTTCCTGCATGTATATGTGTACCACATTCGTGCAGTGCCCTCAGAAGCCAAAAGAGAGTGTTAGATCCCCTGAGACAGAAGTTACAGACACTTGTGAACTGAACTCAGATCATCTGCAAAAACAGCATGTGCTCTTAACCACTGAGTTGTCTCTCCAGTCCCCAACCTATATTTTAGAACAGACATTCCATGTAAAAATGATCCAGAGACAATTCCTTAGGGCCCACATTAACTGGGCAAAGGGTGGAAACCTTGATTAATTCTTCAAGTATAACAGCTGACGTTTATTGAGGGTTTTGATGTGTTCCAGTAGTTACATGCATGGTCTTAAAAAGCACAACTGAGAATAAACCCATGTGATAGGTTCTCCTATTTTCCTCATTTTCAAAGGAAAATAGGAGCACAGGCAGAGCGAGTTCAAGATGTATAAGCAATTTAGCAATGGGAGGGCATGGGTGTGAATCACTGCAATCTGATTTTAGAGGGTCCACTGCTACACAGGACACACTCTGCCTCCTTCAAGTTCTCATCTTAGTTTATAAGCAGACATTTTCTGATCACAGCTTTTCAACCAACTGGAATGGGTAAACTGGGATGCCACCTCCACCGATTGGCTATCTGCAGAGGAAGCTGTTAAATAAGACATGGACCTAGTTATTCAGAGTTAACATGGGAGAGAGAGCTACAAAAAAAAAAAAAAGAAAGAAAAGAAAAAGGACATAATATAAAAGGATATGCAGCCCATAAAAATCATCCCTTGAGAAATACAGTGTGCTTAAGCAAACAACAAAACAGACCTCATGAATTTTGAGGAGGGCTACAGCATTTGTGGAAACATGGGTTTGTTTGCGAGCAAAGCACATACACACACACACACACACACACACACACACATATATATATATTCTGTAAATAAAAATAATACCTGATTGGTAGATTTATGAGCAATATACAATTTACCCAAATATGGAATAACACATTGTCTGTCTTCCCAAAGGTTTTCCTTCCCCAAAGTTTTACAGAAAATACATTTGTGGCCAAAGAGTAACAGGTACTGTCCCTGATCAGACACTCCATCCATCCAAGAGCGTCAGTCTTAACCAAGAACACATACTTTACCACTGATAGCACAGACTGTAGCTGCTGAGCTGTTACTACAGTTCTGATTACCATGTTGTGGCTGCTCCGCATGCACTGGACTCTGGGGAATGTTTCTGACAGATTCTAAGGTTCTAGAGTTAGGACACAGTTCATTTCATATAAGCTACAAAGGGCTCTCAGATACAGAACCTGAGTCATGACTGAGAGGGACCACTCTTTGGTCTGGCTTCTACTACTCTGGCAACATATGAGAGATGTAAAATATGTCTTTGGTGTGTAATTGCTACTGAACCACTGCCTATCTATTATCTTTCTTACAGAGTTATTATTTCATAAAAAAGAAAAATAATAATATACACCAATTTTCTGCATGTTAAAAATAATATTTAAAAACATCTCCAACATAGATAACTGAAGGAAAAATAAGGAGACTGCTTTTATCTAATCATCCATCCATTTATTGATCCACTCAATTATCTATCTAGTCAACAGCTTAATAATGATTTTTATCCTTGTTAAAAGAACTCTGACCTCATTATTGCTCAAAATGACATCAATGAAAGATGTACGTAGGAGCTAGGGAGATGGCTTGGTGGGTAAGGCACCTGCTGTGTAGTCATGAGGCCCTGAGTCTGAATCTCCAGCATCCATGTAAAGCCAGCTGCAGAGGAATGCCTCTCTAATCTCAGTACTCCTACAGTAAGATAAGAGGCAGAGACAGAGAATGCCCTGGAGTGGGAGGGCCAGCTAGCCAGAGGTACATAGTGACAAACAGTAAGGATACTTTATCTCAATGAGTACTAACACTCAGGGTTATTTTCTGTCCTCCAGATATGTGCTCTGGCATGCATGTGCCCCCCCTCCACACACACACTTGCATACCATAAACACATACACACAGGCACACACACACACACACACACACACACACACACACACACACACACACACCCTTGTGTATCATATGCACAAACACACAGAGAATGACATACTCATTCATGACCAGTGTTGATTACACATGCAAAGAGCACCCTGTCATTGAAAAAAAATGAAGAGACATGAGAATATGTGTATGTGAGGAAGACAGCAGGTTTCTATCGTTTCCATTTTGATTTGGCACCAGGGTTATACACAAAGAAGTCGCCCCAGTGTTCTTTAAAACAATTGACTAGCACACTTCAAGGACACCCTTGCCTAATGGAAAGTCGAGAAAGAGGGAGCAGTCAGTCTGCCGCACACAGCGATACTAAGGGGTCTTACGGATATAAAGTAGAACCTTTTACCCAGGCTTGTGCAGTGAGGAAAACCTTGAAATCTTCATTAAATGTTAAAGTTGGATGATCGGCGATCCTGTTCAGAAACTTATGCAATGCTTTCCTGCGGGTTTCGATGAAGTCATCGTTGAAACGCTCCACCAGCCCTTTCACGATAAACTTTTCCGGCAATGGCTGAGACCAAAAACAAACACAATAACTACCTGAAAACGCACATACATGACAGAGGGACAGCTAGTGGATGGAGATGGACACGGGGGCGGGGGGGGGGGCAGGCACCAGAGATGAGCAGTGGGGAACAGCCAAAGCTAAGTAGGCATGCAAACGCTCATAGGAACGCTGTTGCTTTCTGTGCCAATCTACAAAGAACCTGAGGGCTAGCGAGCTGGCCCCACCGCAGGTAAAGGCACTTGCTGTCAAGCCTGACAACCTGCGTTTGATCCCCAGGAGCCACAAGGTAGAAGGAGAGAACTGACTCCTACAAGCTGTTGTCTGACCTTCGTACAAGTGCATGCGTGCTCACACACAAAAAATAACAACTGCATTAAAAAAAGAAACCTAACATGTCACACACAGGGTTGAAAGGGATTCTGAAGAGCAGTTGAATACCTCATCATTTCTTATAAAAATAAGCTTTAAAGGTCCACAGTAGGGGCTGGGGCTATGACTCAGTGAATAAGTACAGTTGCTGACTAGGCTGACTACCCGAGTTCAGTCTCTAGTGATCCACGTGTGGTGAAAGGAGACGCCCCACCCCACCCCTGTACTGCAAGTAGCGATGAGACCTCCACATGCACAGCAGCACACATGTGCTACCCCCTCACAGTAAATAAATGGAGGTAATGCATTTTAAAAAAAAACCCACAAAGCTAGTATAGAAAAATAAAACATCAGCTCATATTACAAAGAGTTAAAAAAAGAACCCACAACTATAGTTAGACTAAAGGGTTTAGAAGTAAATGTTCCTTATATAAACGAATTTTAGTGTATTTAAAGGTATTATGTTTTAGACAGTCTAAAAGACTCAAGCAAACAGAGTGGCTACAGTCTAAACAATAGCAACCACAACCCCTCAGGAACTCACTGGAATAATGAGCGTGGGATGCGCTTCTTCCAGTTTACCCTTCAACCACAGGAAATCTTGATAACGGCGCCTGACTTCAAATTCACTGGAATCAAACTCCCCACGAGAGGTCTGAAGGAGGCAGGAAGACAGAACAGCCCATACAGTATGAGGCAGAAGAAGACATTTGCTTAATTCTATTTTAGCTATGATGAGAAAAAAAAAAAAATGGGTCTCCAAAAAAACTTGAATCCTAATTATTCAGTGTTTGTCAGCCTGCATGTATTTTCTTTTCTTTTTGTCATCTATTCGTGCAGCAGATGAAATTAAGCGAACTTTCCGGTTTTTCCAGAAAGAAAGCAAACACCATGCTTAAATTTGAAGTCCAAACTGAAAACTCTGCGTTCCAACAACCATCTGGCTGGTTTAACTACTATTACTCTGGCATGGCTTTCTCGCTTAGAAAGTGTGCTCGGAATGTAGGTTTCAAACATTATTCTTTTCTTAACATGATTAGAATTCAGAATTTGAGGAAAGTTCTATTTTTAAAATCTGGAAAATAACCCGAATATAACTGAGAAGACTGTTCTCTTGGACTCTGTTCAAATGAACTGCTTTCACTAAAATTTGCTGTTGGTATGTAAAAATTCTAACATTTCGCAGAGTGATTTTGCCACTTTTTCAAGAAGAATGTAATTAATGGATATTTAATGTGAAAAGATTTTTTTTTCTATAATTTCTCAAGGAGTTTTATTTTGAGCTACATGCTTAAACTCATAAAATTTTAGCAAATACATTAAGCTCTCTGTTCTAGTAAACGAAAAATCTGTGCCAACTCATGTGACAAGGACATGGGTTCACTCTCAGCCTCACTTCTACTGACTGAATCTCAGACCAAAATAAAAGTAGTATTTCTCTAATTCATACTCACCTCTCATGAGAAAATAACTACTTATACCAATATCTCACTTAACTGGATTTTTGCATATAGAATACATACAGCAATATTTGGGTTGAGATTTCCTGTAGGAGTAAAGATGAAATAAAATATTGCAAATATATCCCCCCTCACAGAAAATAACAATAACCCACATTGGTGAACTAGTTGTAAAATTAAGCAGTTTATGTCATAGGGTGTAGTTTTAATTATTTAGAAATCATTAATAAGCTCATAAAACTATGAGCTTAAAAGTCTATGTTTATAATATAATACAGTATATCTTACTAAATGTTCTCTTTGCAGTTGGAAAAAAGTTGGTATACATCAAATGCAAAAGCCTAAGAATTTAAACGTTCACAAAACACTTCAAAAATGTAATTATTTTGCAAAATGACACGATATGGAAACAGCAAAAACAGAAAGTCTAAATCCAGTAAAAACATGTTTAACAATGTACATACACTGACTGATATGTGGATGTGTATATGCATACTTGCATATATACACACATATCATGAATTAGAGTACTGTGAGATGTCTTTCAGTACGCTGTGAATTATGTGTTTCTTTAACTGGTTGATAAATAAAGCTGCATTGGCCTATGGCAGGGCAGAATAAGGTTAGGTGGTACATTCAAACTAGAGATGAAGAAAGATGGGATCAGGGAGATGCCAGCCCGCAGTCCAAGGAGCAACAAGATGCCAGCAGACTAGTAACTCCATGGCCACATGGCAACACATAGATTAATAGAAATGGGTTGAGCTAAGTTATAAGAGCTAGATAGCAAGAATGCTGACTGATAGGACATACAGTTTGTAAATAATATAAGCCTCTGTGTGTTTACTTGAGACCAAGTGGTTGCAGGACACAGGTGGGAAAGATTCATCCTGACCGCAGCACTGAGCAGCACCAGAGAAATTTCTAGCTACATTAGAGTCACTCTCATCTGACTGAACACCAGGCACTATAAACAGGTTTGTGAAAAACTTCCAAAACAATAAACTGATGTAACTATTAATAACCATAAATGCATTCAAGCAATGGCTGGTGGAAATGTCATTCAGCCGTCTATGTTCTCAGCCACTGCCAACTCTTTAGTAAACAGAAAACAATCTGTTGTAAACTCCAGCATGGAGATGACAAATCACACCAAAGAATCACTCAGTTCTGTCCCCATCACTTTGTCCCCATCACTCTGTCACTGGCTTCTAATATATAACAGCAACTGAAGAAAATAGAAAATGTGTTCAGGGTCTCAGCAGAGTCTTCCATTTCTTTCTACCACAGGGCCTTATACACCCTCCTGGATGGAATATGACGAGGAGAACAGCTATAGTCATTTGAGTTTAGATAATGTCCACTTTCTGTACAGTAGACTTTAGAATCACCATCCCAGCTAAAGCAGTCATGGTTGGTCATTTACAGTCAAACAGAAGCTTCCAGACTATAGGGTTTGATGACAGATCTCCAACTTAGAAAGAATACATGTTCTACAGAGTATGGCTTCCAGTATCAATAATGCTTCTGACTAAAATGCAGGTTTCCATGGGGACAATACTACAAATAGTGGTTAAATTTTCAACAGTGATCAAAAGAGCTCAGACACTTGTCATTGAGCACCAACAGGTGCATGTCAAACACACCCCAAAATACATTTACTCAATAAACAATGGCCTTTGATTCAGGGTAAGCAGGCATTTTAAGATCAGAAGATTTACAAAACTGCTTTTGAAATAAATGAATCCTAATATTCATCAATGAAGGATATTGGCCACTAACTGCATACTATCGGACATTCAAATATTTGTCTTCATGATGATAATATGGGAGAAAAAAAAACACAGTTATTTATCTTAGAAAGTAATCTCTATACGTCCAAAAGACAAAGTATTTCATCCAAGCAGCCACCTCAGGATGTCAGTCTCAAGAATAAAGTCCTTTTCCCATAAAACAGATGCCTTGAACATGAGAGTCCTGGCGCTTACCCTTCTATGATTGGATAATTCTTAAATGGTCCTAAGCATGGTGTTATCAGTGTATACAAGTGACTATGTATATGTGTATATCCTCATATACTTTAGTATGTGTGAATTGCAATACTATAAAACTAAAACTGGACTTGGGATATATTTCAGTTTGTAAGAGCTTGCCTAGCTTGCATGAGGTATGATACTCAGCACTGCACAGACCAGGTGGCTGGGTTGCACATGTAATCTCAGCATGCAGGAGGTAGAGGCAAGGGGGTCATAACTTCTAGTCATCCTAGCCATCTAGTGATTTCCAGGTCACCCTGGGCAAGAGATTCTATCTAAAATGAAAGTTTTCTCAGAGAGGCCATCCATAAATGTCCAATGTTTGTAACAACTTTGTATTTTCCTTCATTAGAATTAAATTAAATAAACTGTAAGTTAATTAACATCAATCATATCCTCCATCATCATATAAAATTTGAAAGCAGAAATCTCTGTCCATCATGTGTGGCCTGGCCAGAGATAGACACTTAATAAATAAGAGAAATATTCTGAACAACACTAGCATTAAAAAGATAACTATAAAATAAACTATTGCATAAATGATAATAAGAAAATAATAAAGAAATGATTTGATAACAAAATGCCCATCTAGTAGATATTTATATATACAACATATAAAATTATATATTTTTTTATTTTTATAAAATTTATATATATATAATGTATATTCATTGCACATATGTGTACCCTACATACCATGATAAAAGTAATAAAAAGTAGAAAAGGATAGGTAGTTTACAATAATGTGAAAGTCAGTTTGTCATTTCCATATCCAGACAGGTAGAAATGTAATAGGAAAAGATGTATTAAAGCAATGGTTTATGTTTAAATCCAACTCTGCCAATTATTATGCCACACAACTGTTGCAAAGTTGTTGAGTTGCAGTTTCCAATGGAAGGAAATGAGGGCAAATAATATCAATAATATCCAATTTCTTAAATTGCTTTCAATTAAGTGTTTAAAGCATTACCTACTCAATGTAGTCACTATTGATGTCAGCCAGTTCATATATTCCAATATCATTGTTATTAAGAAATGTAGAAAGCCGTTAGAACATTGTTCACACAGAGTCTCACTATTGATGCCATCTGGACCATACATTCTAATGTCATTTTTTATTATTTCTACTATAAAAGCAGCCCATTTAAATATGACGTAGAAAGACAGGAAGATGGCTCAGCAGGTCAAGACACCTGCCACCAACCCAGACAATCTGAGTTGGATCCCAGGGACTCCCATGGTAGAAGGGAAAAAAAACCCAACTACCCCAACTTGTCCTCTAACACGTGTGCCATGTACACGCCTACTCATACCTACCTGCCCTTGACACACTAAATTAATTTAAATGAAGTAAATTAAAATACAATGCAAATATGGATGATGCATTGTATGTCACTGATCAGAATCAGATTTCCTGGGTGCTTCTAAAAGGGTATCTGTGAGGAATGCAAATGACAGGAAGCTAGCTGTTCCAGAGATCCTCTTCCTGGAGATGCTGAGGACAGGGAAGGTGTATAGTCACAACCTTGAGAGCATAGAACTTTGGGTCTGCTCTGGGCAGTATTCCTGTGTTAATTGATTCAGGTTTCTACAAATGTCTTCAAAGTTAGTGCCATTATCCTATTTACAAATTAAGAAACTGATAAAGAGAGGTTGATTAAAATGTCCAAGACATAGCAAGGAGAGAAATCTAGATTCAACTCCTTGCTGTCTTGCTAGAACCCATTTTGAGATAATAAAAATGTGAAGATGTTACTCATTCATTGAACAAAATAGTAAATTGTCAAGTAAGTAGTACCTGTTTGGAATTACTAAAACCTTCCTTGAGAAGCTCAGGCTCCCTGGAAATAAATACAAATCCTCATACACTTTTCTACTTACTAATGGGTAGACAGCAGTTACTGACCACTTACTGCTCATGGCTAAGTGTTTTACATTGATTACTTCACTTAAGTCGATTCTCAGAGCAACACCAGGTTCGATTACAGAACTAACATCTACCAAAATCTCCAGTTTTTAGCTTTGAAAACTATGAGGCTTAGAAAGATTGAGGATACATTTTTAGTTGCTTTTCTGTTCTTTATGGGTTCTTCTGGAATCGTAGGAAAGAACAGAGGAAAGCTAGGAGGCACTGGGCAGCTAGAGAAGCCTTCTTAGGTAGCTGATATCTTGAAAAATAAATATTACTCTTTCCATCTAAGGAGATGGAAACATCAGACAGATGGGAAAGTATATTCATATTCATGAGGCCAAGAGGCACCTGCACTATTCACAGCATAGAAACCACTCAACCTGAGCAGAGCAGGGGCTGGGATGAAGATGGGATGGTCTTATGTGGTATGGCTGTATATGGGGGGTTTGCACTTTGCACTGGAGGAAATGAGGGGTCAAGGAAAGAGATTCGATATATGCACTTTCAGGAACCACAATGGTCCATAGTACAGAGTCTGTGCTGAAAGATGCAATTACAGGGCCTCAGTCCAGAATCCTCTCAGCTAGAGGAGACATTCTTCAACCCTTGAGAACCACACTGGTGATGGGGGTGAGCCTTCCTAAGAAAGGTACTTAACTTGCAAAGAGAAATTACAGACTACTCTTAAAAGAACTTACTGAAACAGATTACATTTTGTTTTATTTTGTATGACATTAGCTTTCTTTGTGTAAAGGATGGCAGACATGGTTTCTGAATCGAATTCTCTTGTGTCCTTGAACAAGCATTTCACATGCAAGCTACAGTTGTGGTTGGATCCTCTGTGAGAAACAAATAGCGTTACACTCTGTAATTCTCAGAAAAAAAATATAAACTTTCACTTGTCCTGTTTTTAATGATTTGCTCTCTTTATTAGGAACCCAAGACTTTTCTTTTCCAGAGGCACTTATTTATTTATTTATTTATTTCTCTATTTATTTATTTATTATTTATTTGGAATGTTTCTTTTGAAATAGTGTCTCATAAAGCCCAGGCTGTCCTTGAATTCTCTACATAGCTAATGTGGCCTCAAACTACACTTTTTTCTGACTCAGTCTTCAAGTGCTGGCATTCCAAGCATGCCCAACTATACCGGGCTAGTTATCATTTTTATGATAAAAAACAAAATTTTCTTATTCTTATCAGAACAACTATAAAACACCACTTATTAAAGCCAATTCAAATATCAGATTTCATAGGAACAAAATGAGGGCAGGTAAGACACAATATCTTACCCAAAATAGCTTTCATGAAAAAAGTCAATGCACCAGATTCTGTAACACTGAACTGTATGACCAAGACATTTTCAGAAACTCAGAGAGCACATTGACATTCAAGAAAATGGTCACTCAGCATTCACCTTGGTTATGATCCTGTAAGTGATAAAAGTTTCAATTGTAGTAACATGGCTCTCAGGTGCATCAACTGTAATGAAAAGATCCTTTAAATCTGGTTCATCTTCAAACTTGATCTGGTTTATCATCGACAAAGGGGATGTTGGCATCATAGGGCTGAAGGAATTCATGTCCATCAGTGAAGCATCCTAAAGAATAAAACATTTATAAAGAGAACATCAGCCAATGGCAATAAAGCTTAGTCTGGAATGGGTCTGCTACACAAGCGTGGGGACCTGAGTTCAGATCCCCAGGGCCCACATAAAAGCCAGGTGTTATGATGCACATCTGTAATCCCAGGACCACAAAGGTGGCTCATTGGCCAGCTATCCTAGCTGAATAGATTAATTCCATGTTCAGTGAGAGAGACCCACTCAGAAAAATAAGGTGGAAACCTATCAAGGAATACACCCAACCACCCAATGCTGACTCCTGGCTTCCACATAAATGCACACTCATTCACACATACATGTACATATATGTACACAAACATGTACATATAACACACACAGATAACCAAACTGATATCAAAATAAATAGTAACAATTTTCAATTTCAATATCAATAAAATATGGCAAAAGCAAAAAGGACTCCTGGATTCATAGCTAAATATGTATGCTAAGTATTTAGTTTTATATGGATATTTAAACATTTATTCTAATCTATGCTTGCTCACAAATTCCACCTTAAAAATGATGAAAGAAAGAAGATATAACCTTTCAGTATTCCACTGCTTTGAATGTTTGCATTATCTCTAAAATACAAGTCGAAACTTACTCCTTAATGTAATAGTATTAAGAGTCAGGATTGAGTTATGATGGTAAAGTCTTGTTAAGTAGCTTTAGCTACCTTATAATGAGGTGATGGGGATGAGGGGCCACTAACTAGTCTCCTTCCAATTTCTTCTTACTACATGTGAGGACACAGAAAAAAATAATAAAAAACCATTGTGGAAGCAGAGTAGTCAGCGCAAGATGACTACTCCGGTCAGCACCTTGAACTTCTATAACTATGAGGAATTGATTCTTACTCCAAAATGGCACTAGAATTGGAAACACTGAAGTTGGGCACAGAGCTGGGAGTTGAGCTCAAATCGGAGACACTGTTTAAATATCTCATCAAACCAAAGTTCCGGTCTGGGAAACAGCCTGTTGATAAAACACTTGCCAAACAAGTGTGAGAAGGAGGATTTGAATCCACAGCACTCACAGCAAAGCCAGTGAGGTGCAGCGTCCATCTGCAAATGTCCATCAGGAAAAGATGCTTGGCTGAAACAGCAGAAGAGGTGTCACGTGGGACACAATCATGGATGAGACAAGGATGATAATGCCCCTTAATAATAAGAAGGTGCAGGCTGTTGTCATCACAAAAAACACTGGTCTAAAGGGTAAACGTGTAGGCATGATTTGAACCAAGTAGTAAAGGGCCAATTTCATAACTAGTTAGGTTAATCAGATGCACAAAATTCAAAAACAAAAAATACCCTGAAACAAAAGTTTAATGAGATAATTTCTACCTCTATGATAGGATGCAATAAACTGTACCCAGATGATGTAATAAAATAAATGATCAAAATGATCCAAAGCAATGTTTATTATGTCTTAAACATTTATTTTTATTTTAATTATATATCGTGTGTGTGTGTGTGTGTGTGTGTGTGTGTGTGTGTGTGTGTGCGCGCGCGTGTAGGAATATGCGCATGTGAGTGCAGGGGCCTGCAAATGCCTTTAGAGGGTGTCAGATGCCCTCAGAGCTGTAGTGATAGGTGGTTGTGAGCCACCACGATGTGGATGTTGAGAACAGTAACTTAGATCTTCTATAAGAGCACTACACACTATTAACCACTGAGCCATCTCTCCAGCCAGCCCAATGGAATAGTTGGGAAAAATTTCATGGTGCATTACTAAAAAAAAAAAAAAAGTCCATAAAACCTGTGCCCAACTAGATTTTAATGTTTATTATATGTCTGACAAGGGAAAGGAAATGGAACAAAGGGGAGAAGAAAAGAAAAAAAAAAACAGAGGATAGGGAATGAACTTAGCAACTATACAGAAAAAAAGCAGAAACAAGTTAACATAAGGCATCTCAGACTTTGGGACTTGTCATGCTGTTGTTTTAACCAAGATCGGTCTAATCTTTTGGGGTTAGTAGGTTTGGGGAGAAATGAATCCTTAACATTGGTTCTTCTCTAACAAAGATGTTGTTCTCAGGTTATATTTTTTTTCTATGTGATGTTTTCCAAATATTCTAAAATCTATGTATTTTGTCTTATACTCAGAGAATTATACTAAAATTGCTAGAGTCAACACTGTAAATGCTGATGTTGAGAAGCAACAAGAAACAACGATTTTAAGTTAAGACAAGTTGTCTAGGGCCATGTGGCAAGAGACATTGGGTTGGACTTGGTGAGTGTTCTTTTCTCAGCTCATCAAAGTTTACATGGCTAAACAGAAAATTTTAAAGTATGGTAACAAAAAAAGGATAATTGTCTAAAATGAAGTTTGGAATGGGACATAATAGAATCCTTAGAAGCCATTAACAGAATTTAGAGTTCCCAAGTAATATTCCACCGGTATGTACAAAAACCTCTCACAAACCACCCACTAGAAATAGTAGTTTTCTACCCTGACAAGTTTTAATTTGGCAGGCAAATGTCCCTGACACTGCATGTAGCCCCACGCTACAGCTTTCTTGGTGCCCACCCACTCTGCTCACCACCACCCACTTCTTTTACCTACTACGTAATTTTGTGTTCTATTTCCTCTGCTTAAAATGCAGCCTTTTGTAGAGTGGGAAGGATCCGGGTTGGTTTACAAAGGCTCATAATTCCGTTGAGTACAATGTGGTGTAATAAAAATATGCTTCCATATGCAGCAAAGGAAGAAAATTATAGGCTGAAAATTTAGCAACATGGATGATTTCAGTAGAAGGATTTAAATTATTATGACTCCCTCAAAAATATTCTTAAAACTGCAATAAAACCAATGATCCAATGTGTTTTAGACTTGTTCTGCCCTACAAAAATGAAAAAAAAAATATGTTGACATTACTTAAAAGATGCACCTTGACATAAATAACTGAGAAAACATAGGTGTTTGAAAAGATACACAGAAGCAATTAACCCATTTAACCTTTCGTGGTTGGTGAGTTTGGGTAATGGATCCTTAACACATGTTCTTCTCTAATAAAGAATTCCCCTCCACCATTCTTCCCCCCTGTCTTCTCCCCCTTCCTTCCCTCTCAAATTTGAAACATGTACATTATCTTATAGTCTTTGAAGCATTGGAAAAAACAGCCTTTTCATTTCTTTCTCCCAGACACGACAGCAGAAGGGACATGATCTCGATGAAAAAAATCTCTTCTTGAATTATATTTAATACCCTTTCCACTGCCAATTCAATGAAAACACACACAAACACAAAACCAAGAAAACCAAGATCTGAATATATAATAAAGAAAGCTTAGTGCATTGCTAAAATTCATTACAGTCTGTCTTGACAACAAAGCAACAGTCCCTTTTAGAGAGAATGTTGAAGTAACTTCTGAAACAAATATATTAGCATGGCCGAATCATCCACAAGTTAAATACAGGTTTCCCTGTGGTTATTCTTGGTTCTTTAATTGTTTCTGTTATCAGTTCAATCATGTACCTCGCCACTCCCAAATCCTCCAAACTCATATGTTGAAGACCTACACCTAATACCTTTGAATGAAACTTTATTTGGTGAGAGCATCTCCGTGTATTCATGCATGTTTATGTGTGTGTGGATGCTCTTATGTGGGGCACAAATGTGTTTGAGGGTGTGACTATATGGAGTACAGACAACAGTAGGAATCGTTCCTCAGGAGCTAATTACCTCCTTTTAGACAACACCTTTATATCAGACCTCTCCAAGGAGGGTAGGCTGACTGACCTGGGAGCACCAGGACCTAGGTATTGACCTGTCTTTATCCCCCTAGCTCTATGCATGTAGCCAGATCTAGCCTTTTCTTCCTTCCTTCCTTCCTTCCTTCCTTCCTTTCTTCCTTCCTTCCTTCCTTCCTTCCTTCCTTCCTTCCTTCCTTCCTTCCT